GCCATGGAGAGGACCATCCCTAGAGTGTGATTGATGGATTCTACTCCACAGAAGAGGATGTTCTGCAGCTGCAGTTGGGCGTTAGCATCAAGTCCACAAGGGTCCTCCCCAGCCGCATGGGGGAGGCCCAGGTCCCACTGGACACCTTGACTCTTCGAACCAAAGTTCCTTAAAGGGGCACGGCCCAGCCTTGCTTGCAACCTCAGGGGTCTGGGATGCCTGTGGCACTTCCTGAAACCCAGGTTGGCCAGGATCTGAGACCAGCTGAAAGGAGGGTCTCCTCCTCCGATCCTCCCAGCCAGGGTGGATGGGTTCCCAAGTCAAAAACAGATCGGGACTGGGACTCATGACCAGCCAGGAGAAAGAGAACTGCACCGCAGAACTGGGGGCTTTTCCGACTGCAGGCTGGGCAATTCCAATCCCAAACATCAGGAACCCATTTTGTAAAACCGCCCGAAGAAGCAGAGATATTTTTTAAGAAGCGTAAATTATTTTCAGTTGTTTTTCTGGTCCTGTGTTTTTTCTTTTCCCTGCAAGTCCATGTGGGTGATCCGTTCACATCAGGTATATCTTGAGAAAGCCTTGGTTACCCCCACTCAGTAACCACGTGCGTGCTCCCCATCCTTTTTCAGTAGTTAAGACGTTCTAGGCAATACCATAGGCACAACTGACTGTGTCTCTCTCCGAGTGCAAGAAACTCAAGTCATCTTAAAAAAAAAAAAAAAAAAAAAAAAAAAAAAAAAAAAAAAATTTACAAAAAAACAAACACACACAAAAAAATATCTTTTTTAGGCCAGAGTTTTCTACAGGTATTAATGAATATTTTTCTTAATCCTTATAAGTTTTATGTGTTTAATATTTCTTAATACCGGTAGCATTAATTTATACTTTTGTAGCAACACAATATTTTTATAAACAGCCAGTACTTGGCTAAAGTCTTCACGAGGGGTTTATGCAGGGTCATCTTGGGGACCCTGTGTACCATGTACTGTATTAAAAATAAAAAGTTACCCAGTGTCACACTTGCTGTGTTAATTAACAAATGATGTCGTTTGCAGTCTCCTGTATCGTTGGGGTGGATCCAACGGCTCTCCAAGGAGTCAAATTGCATGGGGGTTGAGTTGACAGTTCTTGTGACATGTAAACCCCCGAGACCAAACTTGAGGGTTTATTTAGGGTTTTCTGTTTGTCCTTTGGGTTTTTTGTTTTGTTTTGTTTCGTTTCTCTTTGTTTTGGTACCATTTCTCCATTTACAGCCAAATCAGTTTTGTGATGTTTCAAACTTTCACTGATGGCAAATGGAGGAAAGGCACAGAAAAAAGAAGATTTTTATAAAGTAATCAAAATGGAAACTGAGCTGTTTAAATGTTGCTGTTTTTACCTGTCTGTTCTTGTCCAAAAGTGGGGCATTCCCCTGGAGAAGAGGAAGGTCCTACTTGGTTGCTTGAAGTCGCCAAAAGCCCCTGCCCAGAATTCAGTACCCCATCGCCTTGAATTCTTGCAACATTATTTCCCAGTTGGGTGATGCCAAGGCAAAAAGACATCCTTTTAACAGTTAGGATCATTTGCTTAAATGATTTCATGTCAGTGTTGTATTTATGGTTTTACAATAAAACGATCTTTAGAAGATGGCAGTGTGTGTGGTGTTTCTTGGATGGGGACCAGGACACTGCCCCTGCAGGGACAGAACATGGGTGAGAGGAGTGGACCTGAGATACCCCCGAGGGGCACATGGTTGTATAAGGTCTGGGTGTTGACTCTTCAGCTGTGTGCTTCTATGCGGCAGCAGAGGCTTGCCTACTGCTCCCCTCCAGCACCTGGCCCAGCTTAGCCCACTCACATTTGATGCCTGAGGGAGTGATACAAGACCAAGGAAATCTGGCCCCTCCCAGGCCTTGCTTGTCTCATTGTCCCAGAGAAGTAGGACTGGATTTACATGCGTCCTACAGACACAGCGCCTAAGCCATATGTCCAATTGGTCGTCTATGTGCCTGTCATGTCCCTATACTCAGTGGCCTCTCGTATGATGTGTGACATTTTATGGGTTGACAACTGTTCATTCTGTGGGAAGAGTACCTATTCATTTTTCAACTATGACTTCTGGTGGCATCTCTGACGAGAAAAGTTAACGATTTGTGGGAGCAATGGTTACAATTCACTTCAGGGTCTGGAATTTGTCCCCTGAGCTGCCAGGGAACACGTTCACCTTGAGAAGGAAGGGCAGACAGTCTATCTACTCTCGGTCTTCATGTGGAAGAACCCGGGCCTCACCGAAGACTGTTGACTTGGATCCAGAGACGTAGCTGGTTGTCCATGGGACGTAGCGCCAACTCTTCTTCCAGGAGAAGGGCCAGTGTGGGGACCCCAGGAGACAAGAAACCAGAGTGCTGTGTGGAGACGCAACCTGAGCCTCACAGGTCCTGGAAGCTGGTACTTGGGGACATGGCTTGAACGCAGCCCAGGTGAAAAATGTTGGAGGGGCTCAGGGTACCAGAGAATCAGGAATTCTCTCATGTAGGTGTGGGTCTTCCCCTGAATTCCTGGACACACTCAAACTTACTGCTGTCAACTCAGTTCTTGACCCCTAACAACCCTGTATAGGGTTTCTGTGACTGAATCTTGGCCAGAGCAGACAATTTCATCTTTCTCCCGCTGTTGTTAAGTGTCTTTGAGTCGGTTCCAACTCATAGCAACCCTGGGTTTCTGAGGAGTGACTGCTGGATTTGAATCTCCAACCTTGCAGTTAGCAGTCCAGTGCTTATCCTACAGTGCCACACCAGCACAGTTAGTTATTTCTTGTGACTCTGGATTGCTCATGGCAAATCAAATGTCTCCCAGAAACCAGTACCAGGTTTTTTGTTTATTTAAATCTTTTCCACTATTGTGGGGTAAATAAGGAACCCTGGTAGCCCAGTAAGTTAGGTGTTGGGCTGCCAATCACAAAGTTGACAGTTCAAACCCACTAGCCACTCCTCAGGAGAAAGATGTGGCAGTCAGCTTCGGTAAACATTTACTCTCAGAAACCTTATGAAACAGTTCTACTCTGTTCTGTACGGTTGCTATGAGGCGGAGTCCGCTTGGTGGCAGTGGTTGTTACTGGGTACCATCAGGTTGGTTACAACTGATAGCAGCCCTGTGCACAGTTGGAGGAGACACTGCCAGCTCCTGCTCCATCCTCACAATTGTTACGTCTGAGCCATTGCTGCTGCCACTGTGTCAGCCCACCTTGGGGGGTCTTCCTCATTCTTCTGGCCCTCGTCCAATCATGATGTTCTTCTCCAAAGACTGATCCCTCCTGATAGGACCTAAGTATGAGAGATGATGTCTCCCATCCAAGCTTCTAGGGAGAATTCTGGCTGTACTTCTTCCCACACAGATTTGTTTTTATATCAGTCCGTGATACCTTTAATAGTCGTCTCCAAAATCGTGACTCAAATGCATTAGATCTTCTACAGTCTCCCTTATTCATTGTCCAACTTTCACATGAGGCTAAGTATTGGATTACTAACAAAAGGTTGGTGGTTTGAATCCATGAGCCACTCGGAAGGAGAGAGATGAGACAGATTGCTTCCATAAAGATTTACAGCCTTTGCTCTTGAACACTAAATTGGCATCTTTGCTCTTGAACACTAAAGAGATCTTGTGCAGATTTGCCTAATGCAATACATTGTTTGATATCTTGACTGCTGCTTCCATGAGTGTTGATTGTGGATCCAAGCAAAATGAAGTTTTTGACAACTTTAGTCTTTTCTCCACTTATCATGATGGTCCAACTGTGAGGGTTTTGTTTTTCCTTCTTCATTACATTGAGGTGCAACAATCCGTACTGAAGGCAGTAATCTTTGATCTTCATCTGTATTTAAAGTCCTCTTCCTTTCCAGCAAATAAGATTGTATCACTTCATATCAAAGACTGTTAATTAGCTTTCTTTCATTCCTGATGCCTCATTCTTCATAAAATCCAGCTCTTCAGATTATTTGCACAGCATACAGATTGAATAAGTATGATGAAAGAATACAACCTGGGTGCATACCTTTCCTGATTCTAAACTATTCAGTATCCCCTTGTTCTGTTCAAACAACTGCCTCAGTACAGTTCCTCATGAGCAAGATTAAGTTGTTCTGGAATACTCATTCTTCACAATGTTGTCCATAACTTCTTATGTCAAGATGGCAGTGGCAGGTGGAGTTAATAGAACTGTAATTATATTTCATAATTTACACAGCCAATTACATGTAAATTATTAAATATTTAAAAACAAACACACTTCTGTCAAATAGATTCCAACTCAGTAGAGACCCTATTTGTTGTTAAGTGCCGTCGAGTCGATTCTAACCCATAACGACCCTGTATAGGGTTTCCAAGGAGCAGCTGGTGAGCTTGAACCACTGACTTTGCAGTTCAAACGACTTTGCAGTCTGATGCATTAGCCCACAGCTCCATGCCAGGACTCCAGTGACCCTATTAGGACAGTGTAAAATTACTCCATAGAGTTTCCAAGGCTGTAAATCTTTATGGAAGCAGTCTGTCTCATCTTTCTCCTTCCAAGTGGCTCATGGATTCAAACAACCAACCTTTTGTTAGTAGCCCAGTACTTAACCCAATGTGCCACCAGGGCTCCTTATACTGAAAAGTGTTGTTGGTAAATGCTGTTGAGTCGGTTCTGACTCATAGCGACCCTGTATAGGGTTTCCAAGGAGCAGTTGATGAGTTTGAACTACTGACCTTTCGGTTCAAACTGACAGTCCAATGCTTTATCCCACAACACCACATTTACATTTTTCTCTTTGGAGAAGTATTAGGGGTTTCTGAAGTCCCCACCCATTTTTGTCTCTTTTTCACCCTCCCTCACTTCATTACAACTATAATGACAATAAAGAGCCAGGATGTGGAATCTCAGGAGTTTATGATTTGTTTTTTATTAGAGTCCAGGCCTCAACCTGGCCTGGCTGAGGTGCTGGGATGGATGCTGGCTTCAGCCCCCTGCATCCTCTGGTGGTTTAGTTTTTCAATCGCAGCAGCTCCTCATCTGTGGACAGAGAGAGGCTCAGGGAGTGAGTAGGGCACTTGAAGACCTCGATGCCTTAAGAAGGAGGGAAGGCCACTTGGGCAAGTAAGGAGACCTGAGCCTGGGACCAGAATGTCCTCTTCACTGATTTCCAAAGTGATTCCCCTCTTCTGATGGATTTAAGGTGCCACTTCCCAATAGGAAAATCAAGGCACCAAAATCAGTGCCTATAGGAGCTGTGGCAAGACCCCGGGTTGGCCTCATTTCGCAGATAAGAAGCCGAGGCCCAGAGGACAGACAGGCTGGTCTCCTGGTGCAAAATCCAAAACTCAGATCTCACCCCTACCAGGCCAGGGCACTCCCACCCAGACCCCAGCAGCCCCTTGGCCCAGCCTGGCCCCCGCAGAGCCACCTACCCTCACCAGGAGTGCCACAGTACTCCTTGCACTCCTTCTCAGAGTAGAACTTATTGCCGTTGCCTTTACAGCCCCCGTAGTTAAAGAGGATGCACTTCCCCTGGACAGCATCAAATGCCCAGAGCTGGATGAAGCCCTTGCAGGGGCCGCTGACTATGGGGAGATTGCAGGCCGCTGCAGAAGGGAGGGAGACAGCGTTAGTGACCCTGAAAACAGGTGGCCAGGGAACCCCACTCGTCTAGAACACCTTACCCTTCTTTTACAGAATGGGAAACAGGTCCACAGAGAGGAACTGTGTCATCAATAAGTGTGGAAGTCCTACAGTTTCAGGAAACGTGCTCTGCATTCCTCCACTAACACCCTCTCAGCCATCTGGTAAGCTGGTGGGGATGGTGCAGAGTGCATAGAGGCAGGGTGAGTATCCCTCACTCACCCACAGTTCGGCAGGTCTGTAGACACTCCTTCTCTGAAGCAAAGTTGTTACCATTACCCAAGCAGCCACCATATTGGAAGGTCTCACAGGTCATGGACGAGCCATTATAGAAATACTTAGTAATCATCCCCAGGCAGGGACCTGCTGCATGCTCCAGCTGGCAGGAATCTGGGGAGGAGCAGAGCATCAGCATATATTGAGTGCTTACTGTATACCCACCACCAGGTTGTGCATTTAGCATGCATTAGCTCATTCAGTTTTCACCTCTACATTAAGAGAAAGGATTATCAACTTATTTGGTAGCAGTGAAACTGACTCTCAGAGAGGTCACACAGAACCAAGATTCAAAACAATGTCTGTTGAACTCCAAAACCCATACTCATTCTACTTGATGATATGGGGACCCATGCCCCCTGCCACTCACAGCCTCACTGTTCCCTGCACCAGTCTGGTCTTCCCCAATAATTTGCAATGTGAGTGGTTGAGGCATTCTCTTATCCCTATGCTGGCCACCCGGCCTCTTTACCTGCGTCTCCAAACACTACTTACATATATTAGCACAGCATGATGTCTCTTTATATATCTTCCTTCTTCTCCTAACCCTTCCCTTCTCTGAGTTCTTCTAGCCCGTGAGCTGACCTTCCCTTCTGGGCACACCACTATTTTCCTTGGGGAACTCCCTTACTAGACAGTCCAGAAGTTTTGAAAGAGCATGGATGGTTTGTCTCCATTAGCACTGGGCGAGAGCCAGAGTAGGGCTCAGTGTTTGCTAAACAAATTGGAGAATTGAGTCGATCATGAGTGCTTTCAACCTCACAAAATATCCTCAGCTTCTTACCCCACTTGCCTTTGGAAGGGCCCTGATGGAGAGCAGAGTAGGCTCTCCCCCCATTGTACTGATAAAGAAACCCAGGGCAAGAACTCATTTCTCATCATGGAGCTGAGAGTGTCTGAAGTTTGGGGACCGTGCCTAATGTCCCTCCACCTTCCCCAGCCCTGTCCGAGTGCAGAGTAGGGTTTCCCAGACTTGATTTGCTTTTTCTAGAGCCAGTTGTTGACTCCCTAGTGGAGAGATAAGAAAGGGACTTCTTGGTGGGGAGAGCAGCCCGAGTGAGCTAACTGTGGGCCCGTATCAAAAGTATGGCAGAAGTGAGTGAAAAAGGCCCATGATCATAACCTTCTTTCTTGCTGAAATCAGGTACTTGTTGTGCAGCTCCTGAGCCCTCATCTTCCTGGGGTAGCACAGCCCGCCGGGCTCTCTGGGAAAAAGAAGAAGCTGTTACTACTGTTGTTCACCTACACCCATGAATAAGTAGTAATGCTACTACTAATGGGAGGATCAGAAGTTCAGACCCATTCAGAGACACCTTGGAAGACAGACCTAGTGACCAGCTTCTGACAAGTGACAAGCCTTGAAAACCCTGTAGAATAGAATGGTTCTATTCTACAAATGTGAAGTCAACATGGGTCCAAATTGACTTGACAGAAACTAGCAACAATTACTGTTGAAATATATAAACAAGCCACATTTGCTTTGGGGGTCAGGAGATAAGCAGAAGCACTGGTTAGTGAACATCAGCCTGAATTTCAGGATGAGCATCACAGGACAGATTTCTGGTCTGAAAATACAATAAAAACGGAGAGATATAACACTACTGCCGCCCCATCTTCCAATTAAATGCCCAAAGGAATATTATCATGGAGAAGAATCTATCCTTGAAAACATCACGCTGCTTCCTGAAAAATTTAATGTAAATGTTAAAAATCTCCAAAGAAAAAGTGGAAAATGCAAACATGGACTCAGATCATATTCCCCAAAGCAGAGATGCAGAAAACCCGCACTAAAAGTGGAAGTGTGCTAAATGTCTTTCTTTTGCAAGGGGAGGCATTCATTATGGCTTTTTTCTTGACATTGATAAAGAATTTCATTTTTTAAAAATAGAAAATAAATGCTGGGGAGGTTGTGGGGAGGTTGGAACTTTTATCCACTGCTGATGGGACTGTAAAATGGTACAACTAGTATGGAAAATGGGATGGCATTTCCTTAAAAAGCTAGAACCAGAAATACCATACAACCCAGCAGTCCCACGCTGTGGCACGAATAGATGTATGCACAGCCTTGCTCAATGCAGCACTGTTCACAATAAATAGAAACCACCTAAGTGCCCATCCACGGATGAATGGACAAACAAAGTATAGTACATGGAATTATATACAATGGAATACTATGCAATGATAAAGAATAATGATAATACATAGAGCTTCTCATAACCTGGATGAATCTGGAGGACCTTAATGCTGAGTGAAGTAAGTCAATCACAAAAGGACAAATACTGTATGGAATAGTGTTGTAGAAAAATCAAGACTAGGTTTATACACAGAAAAACACATTCTTTGAGTGTCTGGTTATGATTACCAGGGATAGGAGGGAGAGGAAGGAAGGGTCACTACATGGTAGACACATGCTCATTCTGGTGAAGGGAAAGGCGATACAAAATATGGTGGAAGCCAGCACAATATGATCAAGATACACTTAGAAGAAGACACTAAGGTACACAAGACTGAACAGCAACAATGGTAAATTCTGGTTTCCTGGTGTGGTGATATATGATAAGAACTAGACTGCTAACTACAAGGTTAACACCTACTAGTCACTCCTGGGAAACCCTATATAGGGTTGCTATGAATAGGAACTGACTGGAGGGTACTTAACAACAACAAGGTAAATTCTATAACGTACACAATCCTGCAACAATAACAACCAATAATTTGTGAATGGACGCACATGTAAGCCAAATAGATGTGGGAGGTCATACGGGATTACACCCTTGTGGGTTTTTTGGTTGTGGATTTGTGTACATATGTGTTTGGACGTGTATTCATATATATGAAGGAGCTTCAAAACGTTCACTAGAATGCAGAGAATTGTAATCAATGCAATGAAACGAACTGATGTTCCCTCATGTAAACTATCACTCAATTCACAGTAAAAACTTTAAAAAAAAAAAAAAGTTCATGAGAAAATGGAATTGAAAAGGTAATGAAATTTTCCCACCAACTTTCTGAAGCCTCCTTATAGAATAGAGCACATAGGGGGCATAGCTATGAGAATTTCTTAGACATAGCCAGACACCTTGTGGAACTGAGCTACTGGACATGGAGACTAAGGACAGTAGTCTCAGAGGACATTTAGATCAATTGACGGAACAGTTCATAAAGATAGTGTTCAGCATCTGAGTTTGATGAGTAGCATCCGGGGTCTTCAAAGTTTGCGAGCATCCATCTAAGATACAGCTGTTGAATTCTTCCCACAGGAGCAAAGGGGAGTGAAGAAAACCAAATGCTCAAGGAAGTAATTAGTCCTTAGGACCAATGGGCCACTTGAAGTACAGCAGCCTCCAGCCTGAGACCAGAAACACTAGGTGGGGCCAGCTACCACTACCGACCTTTCTGACCAGGGACACAATTGAAGGACCTGGTTAGAATGGGAGGGAAATGTAAGAAACTCAAAATCATATTTAAAAAACAAGCAGACTTACTGGTCTGATAGAGACTGAAGGAAACCCCAAGACTATTGCTCTAAGTTGTCCTTCTAATGTGAAACTGAAGCAACTCCTAGAGCTCACCTCTCAAATAAATAGACGGGCCTATAAGGGAACAATACCACCCAGGAGGAAATGCTCCCTAGATTAACAAGAGAAGACCAAAAAGGCAACAGTTGTCCAAGTACAAAGATGAAAAGGTACGAAGAGGCAGGTAAACAAGATGCAAACGGAAACCAGGAACCCAGGATGGAGACAGGAAGAGCACTGACATATTGCAGAAATCACATTCAATGTCATGGGATTTTTTGTATGAGAATAATTGAGTGGAAAACAAATTTGCTGTGTAAACTTTCACCTAAAGCATAATAGAGTGGTTTCTCTTAAAAAAAAAAAAAGAATATATGGCAGACTGAAACATCCCTCAAAATTTCACTCCCCAGTACCTAATAGCAAAAATGCATTTTTTAAAACTGTTGCTGTTAAGGGCTGTTGGAGTTTGAACCGCCAATCTTATAGTTCAAACCCACCTTGAGGTTGAGTGCTTATCCTATGGCGCCATACCAAGACTCCATTTTAAAAACTACATCCCCATATTTCCATGAGCATGACTCAAGTAAGGAGGGGCATAATTTAGAGCAACAATATTAACACTGGAAATCAAGCAAAGAAAAAATGTTCTGGAACTGAACAGAATGGTTCAGCAAAGTTCAGTTCCTAACTGGGCCCTCCAACTCCCTGTACTGGCAAGTCATCCAATTTAAGGTAATTCCCTCTGATACTTCAAATCCAGAGAGAAGAAAATTGAAGGGCACCTCATGTTTTCTCCTTTTCTGACGTAAGAGTAGTAAATATGGCTTCTAGGGAGAAAGAGGGGAAGGGAGAATAGATTTAAGGTTAAGTCTCTCTAGTGGAAGGAAAGGACCTTTGACTATACAGTCTAAAGTTTCAAGATGTGTTGCCAAGAGACAGCCACACATCACCTCCAATCCCAGCCAAGTGCAATGAATCCTGCAGAGGTTATAGCAGCTCTTCAAAGAGAAACAGAACAAGGGTAGTCCAGCCAAGATGGCTCCAGAGCAGAAGCCAGCATAAAGAAGAGCTGGTTTGAGAAGCTGCTTGCTCTTGGTCTTTCTGCTAAAAGTTTTTAACCCTAGAAGGCAGGTATAATTATGCCATTTCATAGATGAGAAAAGTGAAGTCCAAGTTTAGCTCCATGACAAAACCAACATTGAACCAAGGGGGGTCTGACCCATCCTCATCACTGCCTTTTCTCATCCCCCGTCACTGACCCCATCCAGCAGCAGAGCAGGACTTAAGCAAAGGTAATAAAAACCAAGTGTGCAGTACCTGGGAGGGAATGGCATACTCACCTGGGCTGGGCTGGGCTCTGGTTCCTGCTCTCCAGGGATACACTCACCTAGATCATGGGGACAGTGAAGGAGAGAAGGGTGAATAAGAGGACCAGGTGTGGGCAGGGATCCTGGGCTCAGCTGGCTTTGTTTCATTGATGTTATGGTACTACCAACTGTGTGCCATGTGGGCATTGTGTTCGGGACAGTCACATGCATTAGCCCACTTCATGAATGACTCTAATCAGTAGTTTTGTTCAAGGTCATTTACTAGAAAAACAACAGACTGGTAACTGCACCGCTTTCACTGTCTGCATCATCTTCAGACCATCATCAATATTATCACAAGAACAGCAACAGCTAACATTGTACTTCCTAAGCAGCAGACTGAGTCCTGTTGTATTTAATGACCTTGTGAGGATCTCACAGAATCCTCACAGCAACCTATTAGACAGGCAGTATCCCATTTTACAGATGAGGAAAATGAGACTCAGAGGTTGACTAGCTCAAAGAAGCAACTTTGAACCTTGGTGATCTGACCCCAGTGCCCATGCTTTTAACCTAACAACTCTGTTGCCTGCTAAGATGTACTTATGAGTTCTGATAGAACCTCATTCAGACATACGGCAGTAGAATGAACACTGACTTGGCTCTAGTACAGCTCTGCCAGGTACACACCATGTGATTTGGAACAAATCCAAGGGCCCTAGCTTCTCTGTAAAGAGACTGGGGAGAGACTGTGGTTCCTGGTTATTTCAGAGGGTTGTTACAAAGCTTCATGGGCTGTGCAGATGCTTTCTGATGGCCAGAAAAAGGCTAAGGAGGGAGCAGGAATACGAGGTGGATGGAGGTGCTATTTACCTTTGTTGGCCATGGTAAAGATGGAATCCTCGGAGATGCCCATGCCTACAGCAAACTCTCTGAATTCCTGCAGGAGGCTCTCCCGTAGCTGTGGCTGCCGCCCTGAAAGGGAGAAACAGAGGAGACACTTAGAACCACAGGTGCCTGGGCTGGCAGAGCCTGAGGAAGTTATCTTGCACAGTGGTTTTCATTCAGGGGAAGTTTGAAAACTCTTGACCCAGTTCAATCTCTTTGATATACTTATGGAAAGATAGGGAAGAGGTGTCCCTCCCTATACTCCTAATTCTCCACACAGGGCTCTTTCCACTGGTTAATTTAAGGGCCTGGAGACTATGGGTCTGGCATTTTAGAAATTCAAAGAAAAGGACTCTACTTCAAATGAGAGACTAAACTCTCTCTCTCCTCCTTCCATCCTTCACCTACTTTGTCAGAAAAAGAAGAAAAAAAAGCTCTCTGCTCTTCCCTACTCCACTATTCAGAAGACAGGGGTCTCCTCCTACCCCCAACTTGGTGGGCTTCATATAGTTATAGTACTTTACCATAGAGCTTAGCAGTGATGCTGGGTCCATGCCGGCTGAATTTCTTGGTCAGAAAAATGGCATACTCATCATAGTTGGTGTGGACCACATAGGACTCCATGGATACATTCCATTCTGCATGGGATATGTAGGCAGACCAAAGGAATCAGGGATCAAGCCCTTCTAGCCTGAGATTCTTCACCTACTCACCTACTCATTCACACAATCAGTCAGCTAGTCATTCATCCATTCACCCACCTATCCATTTACCCTTTCCATATATTCATTTATCTTCAGACTCTCTCTATCCACCTAACTCCAACACATGATCATCAATAATTCATCCACCACCACTCCATCCTCTCCAGACCTCAATTCATAAATTTATCCATTTCCTTTCTTCTTTTTTCACCTATTCACTAATCCAGCAATGTATCCATTGGATGACTGATTGATGAATTTATCTACCATCTATCCATGCATTCATTTACCCTCCTTTGTGTATTCTCATCTTGGTTTATTTATCCATCTAGTCAAACATTTGAATTTTCAAGCCCTAATACAATTATTTTGGAATCCTGGTGTGGCACTGTGGGTTAATGCACCAGACTGTAAAGCAGTTTGAATTGCAAGGTCAGCAGTTCAAGCTCACCAGCTGCTCCTCGGACACCCTATACAGGGTCGCTATGGGTCGGAACTGAATTGACGGCACTTAACAACAACAACAATGCAATTATTTGGCACATAGAGCATATCCAATAAGCATTTGTTGAATTAATGAATAAATTCATGTCCAAATCCCTCTATTGCTTAGTACATGACAGATGCTTAGTAAAATTTTTGTCAAGTGATTACAGATGTCCAACAGAACACAAAGACTGATGAAATCTTCATGTTGGCCTCAGCATTTAATACCATTCACTTGACTGTCACCCTATTCTGGACTTAAGAGAGAGAGGAGAGGACAGGGGAGGGGAAGGGAAAAGAGGGGAAGGGAGGAGAAGAAAAAGACAGAAGAGAGGAAAGGGGAAAAGGAGGAGGCAGAAACTTGAAGGACAGTTGGATGACACCTCAGAGAGATGGGAGGAAAGGGTATGAGGCAGAGAGCTGAGGCAGAAGGAGGGAGAGCTGAAGTCGTCAGGTTCATTTTGAGCAGAGGAGAGACACCTGATTGCTTTCTTGACTCCGACTTACTGGATTTGTGATAGAGGAACTTCCCATCAGTGTCGGTTTTCTGATATGTCCCAGAGACCAACTCACAGGAACCTTTCCTGAAATGAACAAACCAAAAAGAAGGTCACTCCTGGCACATACTGTGGTCCAGACACTCCATCTTCCCACAGGGATCTTAACATTTCCAAGTCTCACATTAGTCCTGAGAGATTGGTAGGGAGTGCTGCTCCCATTTTACTGGTAAGAAAACAGAGTCACAGAGAAAATAGGGACTAAGCACGACATCCTCTTGGCAAAGGCATGACTGGAAATCAGCTTCCTCAGCCAGGTCTGCACATTATCCTGATGCACTGTTGGAGCGATACGTTAATGCTTTGTTGTTGTTATGTGCCGTGGAGTCGGTTCCGACTCATAGCGACCCTATACAGGGTTTCTGAGGCTGTAAATCTTTACGGGAGCAGAAAGCCTCATCTTTCTCCCGCGGAACAGCTGGCAGCCATTAATTTATTACTCTGTGTCTCTCTTGGTTCCAGTTTTCTCATCTGTAAAATGGGGATAGTGATCAATTCTACCTCATATGATGTTTTGAGGATTACATGGGATCATAATAAAGTGCGTAGAATAATCACTATATACATATTACTTATTGTTACAGTGATTACTATGAGTGATTACTAGTAGTGTTAATATATTGACCCTTGAAGCATTCATTGGGCATCACATGTGCCAAGCACTGCTACATGCTGGAGATACAGAAGTGAGGGAGTCATGCCCTGTACCCTCATGGGCCAGCAGGCAAGAGGTGATGCAATCAATGTGAAAAGTACTCTGAGGGGGAAGTGTGAGGGGCTCTGGGAGCAAACAAGAAAGCATATCAGCTGACCCTGAGGCATGGGGTGGAGACTTCCTGCCGGAATGAGCCATAAGAATTAGCATAAGAAGGTGGGAGAGGAACTTCAGCAGAAGGCACTAGGGGGTGGAGGGTGGAGGGCTTAGCAGAAGGACTACTCAGGTGGGTCACAGGGCCCATGGGAGACAGTGGAGTGAGGGAGGGTTGAGAACAGGGTTGGCCTTGAAGACCACGTCAACAGCAATAGGAAGCTAAGGAAGAGTTGAACACTGGTGAATTTTTGAAAGGTCTTTCTGGTTACTGAGCGAAGAAAGAATTGGAAAGAAGATTTGAAATTAGAGGTGAAGAGATGCAGGGAGAGCCTGTTGCAGACAACCAGGCAAGAAAGGAAGGTGGCTTGGACCAAGGTGGTAGCAGTGGAGAGGGGAGAAGTGGACAGATTGGAGGGATTAAGATAATGGGCAGGGCTGATGGTGGAATGAATTGGAGGTGACAGGGACAGAGATGTCTAGGATCCATGCCACCCCCAACTCTGCCCCAGTTATCAGAGTAGGTCCCTAGGGGTTGACGTGGCCCTACTGAGCTATGTGGAAAGCTCTTGGATAGCAGGCATAGTGTGGGGGAAGTTACATTTAAGGTGTAGATGGGACAGTTACAAAGGGTAAAGGGTAATAGAGGGAGGGATTTCGAGCTCCAGGTGGAGGTCTAGGCTGGAAGCAGAGATCCGTAACTCCAGGATGATGACTGAAGGCCGGGGAGGATGGTGGCTCCCTAGTCCTTCTCGGCCCTCCCTCACCACCCCCACACTCACCGCCAGCGGGTGCTGGTTGTGTTGATCTCTGTGTCTGTAGCTCCCTCTCCCAGGACCAGCGTACTCATGGACATCCTGGTCTGGAACCTCTTCAACCATGGGCAGGTGGAACCAATGGCTATGTTGAACCATTTGCCGTAGATCTAGGAAGTAGCCACAAGCTTTAGGGCCCTGGACTCATCTCAGAGCTCAAAGAATGCTTGGCTGAAGCCTGCTCCCCTCCCTCCTCTCAGTGACGGACACTTCCAGGTGGTAATGTCTTCTGGAGGCCAGCCACTGCCAAGGCAAGCCGGAGCCCCAAGAGTGGAATTGCAGGCTGAGGAAGGAGATATGCAGACGGACCTCACACTCCAGGCAGAAGACCCTACTCTGCTGAGAGGTAGGGTCAGCCTTGCTCACTTGTTTGGGGTGCAATCCTCATGCTTTAAGGTCACCAACCACTGCTCCCAAGAGCAGGAGCCCTGTCTTATGTTCCTCCAGTGATGGCCTCATCACCTAGCAAGGCAGCCATCGCTCTGTGACAGAAAATCTCTCTGATATCCAGCTCCACTATGACTGGGCCACACAGAACCAGTCTTCTGCTCTTTCCTCCTGGCAGATTTCAAGAAGCTGAGGGAGCTCGCAAGCTCCGCCCAGGGCGCCCAAGTGTCTTAGAGCCTTACCATCGGACACCACCAGGACGCCCTCCTCCTCATGGTCCCTTTGCCCACAACCCTCTCTTGCCCCTAAAAACCAGACAACATCCATCTGATGGCTGAGCTGGAGGGGTCTGGATCTCCTCAGATGCAGACTGAACCCCCACAGTGGGTAAGGTCTTACTCAAGGTCACCATTGAACCAAGGCAGAGCTGGCTTGGAACATGGTCCTCGCAGACTGTACACCCCATATCCCATCCCTAGCCAAAGTGCTCCTCATGCCCAAGCCTCTTAGTGATCAGCCCTAACTCACTGGTATGATTCTGTCCTGTGTCTCTTCTTCCTGTTATTCCAAATGCTAGTGGGCACACATGCTCAACCTGGTCATAAACAAGGCCAGTGAGGGCAGGGACTCAGGACCTACTAAGAATGAACCGATGGCGTTGATTCCAGCATATGATGACCCTGTGTGCGTGTGTGCGTGTGTGCGTGTGTGTGTGTGTGTGTGTATGTGTGAGAGAGAGAGAGTGGAACTGTGCCATAGCTCCCTAGAGTTGCTAGTAGCTGATTTTTCAACAGTGGATTGCCAGACCTTCCCTCTGCACCCCCAGGCTCCTTTGGGTGGACTCAAGCATCTGCATCACATAGGAAGTCCCTCAGGGGGAGAAGGGTTGTTGTCGTTATGTGCCATGGCATCACGACCCTGCATATGGTTTTCGAGGCTGTAAATCTTTACAGGAGCAGAAAACCTCATCTTTCTTCTGAGGAACAGCTGGTAGTTTCGAACTGCTGACCATAAGATTAGCAGCCTGATTCGTAACCACTATGCTACTTGTAAGGTTAAAGCACGAAGGACTGGGGGTGGGGTGATCCTTCCCTGTGGTAGCTTCTAATCTCAACATTGGCTCCTCTTGGAGACCCTAGAGAACAGGCTAACAGCTGAGGACCTTGGCTCATAGAATGTCAGCCAAGGGAGTCCCACAGAAAGCCAGAGGCACAGAATTGTAATTTCAAAAAAATTTTTTTAAAAAGTGGAAGGGCCCTTAGAGGCTGTTCCAGGAGACCAAGACCCTGACATGCAGGCCTTGATCAGGGAGCTCTGGCTGCTTTAGATACCCCACCACTGCCACCAGCAAGCCCCTTGTTACCCGAGAGAGGTCGAAGTTCTCTTGCACTTGGATGTCATCAGGTAGAGTTGGTGCCAGGCGGGCACTCACTGCCAGGCAGGTGGTCAGTAACAGAAGCAGGGCTCCCAGGCTTTGCATGGCTCCGGGCTCCTCTGTGCCTTAGGCTTGGTCTGGGGACAGAGGTGCTACCTTTTCCTGCTTGAGGCAGCTGCAGACTGAGGCTGGGGAAAGGGCCCATGGCTTGTAGTGACCTTGGTGTTTGCCCTGCTCAGCCGGGGCCAATCAGGGCGCCAGGTCAGGTCTGATTGATCTCCTGTGATCCCCTGACTGGGGTCAGTGGTCCTGAGGGATAAGAGGGCTGTTTCAGAAAAGGCATTAGTCAAACACAGGTCACAGTACAGCCTGGTCTGAGTTCAGTCCCCAGAAAACCTTCCTCTGAACTTCCCACCTGTCCATGAGTCGCATGAGGTTGGGAGACACAGGGTTTACCTTTCCCACTGAGTTGTTCCACCTGGAGCTCACATCCCTGGGGTGACAAGCCTGGTTGTGCCCATTTCTCTGAGGCCAAGAGAAAGGAAGTGACTGACCAAAAACCATAGGGAAGTCCCTGGCAGAGCCAAGCCTAGAACCCAGACATCTTGTCCCTAGAGTTCGTTTTCTGGCTGACCCAAGGCTTTCCTTCTTGTTAAGTGACACCCAGTTTGTTTCAACTCAGAGCAATCCTGTTTCTGAGGAGTGGCTGGTGATTTTGAACCACCAAACTTGTGGTTCAAACCAACCTTGTGATCCAGTGCTTATCCTACAATGCCACACCAGGACTCGAGGCTTTCCTTAGTCCTTGCAAATAATGGTAGAAATAGTAATGATGCCAATTATAATCACAGCTTTCATTTACGGAACAACTGCTCAGTTGCAGCCACTTCACACATGCCATGGTAATGAATATCATCTTCACAACAACCCAGTGAAGTAGCAGCGATTTTCCCCCTTTGTAGATAAGTGGATTGGAGTCCCCAAGAGGAGAAGTGACTTGTCCAGGGACCTCCATCTGGGACGTGGAGTTGCTGCAGAGGTTGAGAGTATGGCCTGGGAACTCTATTGTCTACCAGGCTACCCACTAGCTGGGTACTTCACTTTCCTCATCTGTAAAATGAGGATAATCATAGTTCCTTGTTTGTAGCATTATTGTGAGATGCCATTGAGTCGACTCCAACTCAGTGATCCTCCATATAACAGAATGAAACATTGCCCAGTTCGTGCCGTTCTCACAATCATTGCTGGGTTTGAGTCCAGTGTTACAGCCACATGTCAGTCCATTTCATTGAGGCACTTCCTCGGTTTCATTGACCTTCTGGTCACCAAGCATGATGTCCCTCTCTAAGGACCCCACCTGATACTGTCTAAAGTAAATGAGACAAAGTCTTGCCATCTTGCTTTAAGGAGCATTCTGACTGTACTTCTTCCAAGACAGATTTATTCATTCTCTGGAAGTCCTTAGTATACTCAATATTCTTCATGAACACCATAATTCAAATGCATTCATTTTTCTTCTGTCTTCCCTTTTTGTTGTCTAGCTTTTGCAGCATATGTGGCCATTGGGAAGCCCATGGCTTGGGTCAGCCCGGCTTACAGTAAACATCACAGTGGTATCTTTGCAACAGATTTTCCCAATGCATGTGATTTCTTGACTGCTGCTTCCATGGGCATGGATTGTTGATCCAAGATGAACAAAAATATTTGACAACCTCAGTGGGGCTGAATGTTGTTGATGTTGTTGTTAGGTGCCATGGAGTCAGTACCAACTCGTAGCAACTCTACGCGCAACAGAATGAAACACTGCCTGGTCCTGTGTCATCACAATTGTTGCTAAGTTTGAGCCCATTGCTGCTGCCCCTGTGTCAATCCATCTAGTTGGGGGTCTTCCTCTTTTTCTCTGACCCTCCACTATACCCAACATGTTATCCTTCTCCAGGGACTGGTTCCCCCTAATAATATGTCCAAAGTATGACAGACAAAGTCTGGCCATCCTGACTTCCAAGGAGCGTTTTGGCTGTACTTCTTCCAACACAGATTGGTTTGTTCTTTTGGCAATACATGGCAGCATTTTGCTATTTTCCTCCAATACTATAACTCAAAAGCATCAATTCTTCTATGATCTTCTTATTCACTGTCCAACTTTCACATGCATATGAGGTTATTGAAAATACCATGTCTTGGGTCAGGCGCACTTTAGTCCTCAAACTGACATCTTTGCTTTTGAACACTTTAAAGAGGTCTTGTGCAGCAGATTTGCCTAATGCAGTATGTCATTTGATTTCTTGACTGCTGCTTCCATAAGTGCTGGTGACTGGTCTGAGGGAAATGAAGTCTTTGACA